GGTTAGCAGTGGTTGGGGGTGATCTGGGACGGGGGTGTCAGACTCGATCTGGACTGGGAAGCTCCTCCCAGGCTGGATCCTGGGCCCATGTTTGGGTCAAGCAGCACAGACTTACGGAGATGCAGGGCTGCAAGGGATCTCTGTAGGCCACCCAGTGCTGCTCCCCGCCCGATTCCTGTCCAAACCAGCAGATACAAATCCATTCTCTAACCCAGCGGTTCTCAAACTCTGAAAGATTGTGCACTGCCAATTTAAAACAAAACAACCTTGAGTACCACCAGCACATTTTTGTCATATAAAGTAATTATAATAAATCTGTTAACATGTACCACTGACGGGTTGTCTGCATACCACTGGTGGTACTCATACCACAGATTGGGAACTGCTGGTCTAACCTGTTCATAAAATTGCCATCGACTCTAACACAACACCAGATGTCATGCCCAAATCGGCCACAGGTAAAGTAGTGGCTACACCCCGTGCTTCAGAGAAGGTGAAACCCCCACAGTCCGTATCAATCAGATATTGGCACAGTGCAGTTGCAGTCACCAGCCTTGGTTGCAGACAACACCTAATACAGTGTTGAGCTGGGGGTTTGCATCTGCAATGAGCTGGGGGTGTATACCTGTGTAGAGCTCTGGCTGGGCAGCAGCATGGAGCCGAATTTGGCCAAAGCTGTGACCCACTGCATGCCCCTGGCTCTGCTACCTGAACACTTCTCCATGCCACTGCTCTCTGCTGCACACCCCTGGCAATGCTGCAAAGCTCTGGCCAGCCAGGGACCTGCAGCACTGTAGAGCTAAGGCCATGCGCTTCCAGTAGCCCACTGAACAGCCCGATGCAACTTCCACTGGCTAGATCCAGCCTACGGGCCATATGTTTGATGCTCCTCGTCTCAGTGTAGTGATGCCTGTCTGCTGTGGGAATTTCTCAGGCTTCTGGGCTTTGCTGGTTGTTGCATGGGGCTGGGGAGGGATTTTTCCCCCTCCTGCTTCTACATGTGTCAAGGTGTTTTCAAGCCTTCCTCAGAGGCATTGGGTGTTGGCTGCAGCCCAGCCTAGAAATGGTGAGTGGACTGTGCCAAAGCTTCTGCTGGGACTCAAACCCAGAGAGTCCTGGCTAGAAGGTCTTGCCCCTCCACTCAGGGTCAGACCATTCACTCTATTTGGGATTAGGAAGGAAGTTTATGCCATGGTCAGATTGGTATGAACTGCAGGGGTGGAGGGGCTTTGCCTTCCTCTGTAGTGAGTGACATTTTAACAGCCCTTGTAGCAGCAAGATGCTGCTAGTCCTTGTCCTTCTGCTTGACCTGTGGCAGGTTTGGTTGATCTTGGTGTCCGGGCAACAGCCTTGTAATTGTGCAACTGGGTTGATTGTGTGGTTTTAGGACTAGGTTAGACAAGGATTTGTATGGGAT